AAAGAAATTACTTAAATTTTCAACATCTTGCTAATATTTTCATGAAAAACCTTTGCATGATATTGTCCCAGATTTTCTCTGTTAACTATATTCTTCATCACATTCTTTACACCAGATCCCACTGGGGGACTTTTCAGTTGGTTGCAAAAAACTAAACTGGATCATGGATTGAAGGTGTCATCTGAAAGAACTTTAGTTGTCTGTCAGTCATTACTCCTTCTTCTCCTTGTTTCTATTTTATGTCGGCTTGATACCCCATATCAGATCTGAGACTAAGAGTTGTAGATTTTGAAATAGAGATCATTTAGGTTTCCCCAGAGGCTAAAAAACTGCGAAATAGTCCTTTAACATGTGAAGCAAACCTCGGCATCATGATGTTTCAAGATGTTTTTTCAGTATTTCATGAAGAAAAGCATCTTTCTTCATGATGCTGCTACCACTGTTCGTTTTCCACCACACGATTTTGGGTGCAGACCAAAAAGCTTGGTTTTAGTCTCAGCTGACTGGAGCGGCTTTACATCCTCTGCTCAGCTCGGATGTCTCTGTCCAGATGCGAGTCCAAGTATTATTTGAAACTGAGCTCATCTTAATCCGTCCTGATCCCAACAAGCAGAGAAATAGCCCCTAATTGGCTGAATCAGAAGCCAACTTCAGCTTTGTGTTGTTTCTTTATTTGTGGAACACATAGATAATAAAACCCAACTAGTTAAAGGTTTTGTGCTGAAATGTCCATAATGCCATAAAATCTGCCATAAAAATCTGAAGGCTTGAGTTTGGGAAGGAGTGGAAATTTTTACTGGAACATTTGTGGGAACCCCGAGAGCAATATTTAACTTTCAGATCAGATCTCAATTTATAAAAGCCCACTGAGAGGCTGAGAGTGATGCATTCAGGCGCACGCCCACATATCTGTCCGTAAATTTATGCTGACTCATTTGCAAAGTGCCTTTCGGTTGGGTGATTGCAGCACTTAGTCACATATTATCTATGACCTGAGCTGCTGCGTGCTGACCTTATCTGATAGTTACATCACCACTGAAGGAGGAATGTGTGCGGCTCAGAAACGGCGGGCGCTCAGGTGTCATGGAGTCGATGTTGGAACAGTGGCGGCGTCTTACAGGTGTTCACATATCTGGGACCAGAGCAGAATGTCACCAGGAAGGAAAATGCACAACAGGAACTGAGGACTGAGTGTGCTTCAGCAATCTTTATCCTTATCTTCTTTCTGCTGGTTCAGACCTGTAGATGGCAGAGGGAAAGGTTGGGGACGGCAAGTCTTGTGCTTGTTAAAAGGTCAGAGTCCACGACTGTGCAGATGTCCTAATTTCCTGACTGCTGCCTCCTCCTGCAGGTTAACAGTAACACATAAAGAAATTGCAAATATTCTGGTTAGGAGCAACAGCTCCATGTTTAGCAGTTTTCGGCCTGCAGTCAGAGGTGTTAAAGGTCAACAGAGAGCATGGAGGGGTGATGTTTGGGCCCTGCAACAAAAACACTTCCACTCAAAGGACGACGCCAAACTCACAGCTGTTAGAGAAAGTAGCAACAAAGATCAGAAGAAGAGAAGAAAACAATGTTTTACTTTTTTTATCTCTGATTTTTGGATAATTGATCTACCAGGGACAAGGAAGGACCCAATGCGTACATTCACACCATGATTAGTTCACTTCAGTCAAACTCTGGTTTGGGAGATGTGAACGCCCAATCAAACTCTGATCCGGACAAAAAAGGGCAAACTCTGGCCCGCCGAAAGACCTATTTCTCGATTCGGTTGAAGTCAACTCGGACGCAATTCGAATGAACGCCAAGCAGACCGGAGACCGCTCCAAAAGCAGAAGGTGGACGGCACCCGGGCTTGATTCGTCCAAAACAAACCTACGAGTTCTTGTTTACATTTCATGAAGACGGAACTTGTGCTGATGCTTTCTTCAGAGGTTTTTATGTCGTTTCCTTCACCGGTTCGTGGTACAGCGCCACCACAGGCGAGGAGGTGAACAGGTTCTTCAAAGGGTTTGGTTCATCTTACACAGAAGGCAAAACGCATCAAAAGAAAATGTAGCAAATCTTTCATTCACACACTGACGGTGGTGAACTACATGGTAGCAGCCAAAGCTACCCTGGGACAGACTGGCAGAAGCGAGGCGGCCCAAAAGCCAATATCAGGAGAGACCAGTCCTGCAGACAGACAGAGGGAGCCTGATGTGGCCGAAGGAAGGAATTAAATGGCCTCGTCTGAAATAAGAAGCCTCTGATATTTCCCTGAACCTCTGGTTGTCCAGGAAGGTTTTGGAAAGTAGTAGAGGGCCTTGGATTGATATTAGACATAATATTCTTCTCTACAGTGATAACCGTTTGATGAAACTGAGGTATTTCATCCATCTCCTAGCAGCCCGTGCCTATTCTCAGCTGAATGCCCATCAGGTTGAGGCTGACGTTGACCTTATCTGGGAACAAAGAGCGCAGCACAACTCTGAGATCCACTTTGTTGACTAAAACACAGCCGTGAGTACCGGCAGCTCACTCTTTATGACCGCTATTTACATCTGACTGTGTGAATATCAGACAGTGTGTGCGTTTTCCCTGAAAATGCCTCACACAGAGACACAGAGACGAGGCGGGGGGGAGGTGAAGGAAACTAAGAACAAAAAGCTGAACTGGTGCCAATATAACCCAGGCTCAACCAGGAAAAAGGGGAGGTGTGTGCACTGGTGGTGGTGGAGCACCATTTGTATTTTTGCCTTCTTATTTTTCCCCTCTTTTGCCTCCATGTTTCCTCGTTTTTATTGTCTATCTGTGGTTGCTTTGTGGTCGGTGGGGAGGATGTGTATGGCACGTATGTGTGTGAGACTGTCTGTCTTAAACCGACGTCCCCACCTTAGAATCTGTCTCTGCCATGGCTGCCCTCCTTTAACCCAGAGCAGCAGGTTTTCTAGGACAGGTTAAATGAGAAAGCGAGCGTGTATCAGGTGCCTGTCATCTTACTCCTCTCTGGACTCTCCAGGTCTCCTCTCTGGTGTCAGTGCGTGCACATGCACACACTCTGTGAGCTTTGAGACAAATGGCAGCATGCGTGTGCACTGAAGTGCATGCATTTGCTGGCTTTGTTAATCATTTACGCTGCTTAGTGTTTGTTTGCTTGGGCGTGTTTTTTTTTTTTTCCATGTGCTGTGCAACTTGGCGGTTGTGTGTGTGTGTGTGTGTGCGTGTCTCTGTGTGTGTGTGTGTGTGTGTGTGTGTGTGCGTGTGTGTGTGCGTGTGCGTGTGTGTGTGCGTGTGCGTGTGTGTGCGTGTGTGTGTGTGTGTGTGTGTGTGTGTGTGGGGGGGGTGTGTGTGTGTGTGTGTGTGTGTGTGCGTGTGTGTGTGTGCGTGTGTGTGTGCGTGTGCGTGTGTGTGTGTGCGTGTGCGTGTGCGTGTGCGTGTGTGTGTGTGTGTGTGTGTGTGCGTGTTTCTATGCTTTGCCAGTGAACAGACTCTGGAAACAACTCTCACTATTTGACTTCCAATAGAAGACAAGATGGCATGAAAAGTGTTGTTGAGGGGATTGAGCAGATGAAAGCAGGAGCACACGTTAACACAGTGAACAATGGAGGGTGTACAAATGCGTGTGTTTGCATTACACATACTCACACAAAGTATTTGCAGAGCACCTTCTCGCATATACACATTTGCGCTTTTGCAGAGAACTGGTTTTGTTTTTCTCATTTAAACCGTTCAAAACTTAAATTGGCTGTATGAAAGTGTGAGGGTGTCTTTGTGTGTGCACTGGCACGTCAACGTGTGTGTGTGTGTGTGTGTGTGTGTGTGTGTGTGTGTGTGTGTGTGTGTGTGTGTGTGTGTGTGTGTGTGTGTGTGCATGACCATGAGAGGCAAACCTGTGGTTAGGTTACATCTCCCTGCTGTGCAGCAGAACAGTGTCTTGTTGCGTCATACTGAGTCTGTTAATAACAGGCTAAACCACAAAGGCCATCCACTGCTCTATTTCTCATCTTCCAGCGGTGCACTGATTATGCAGCAGTGATACATTAGGCACGGTTGTCTTGTCTGATGCAGCATATTGAAATCTTACACATGTAATTTATGTATAAAGCACAATGCCTTGATACTGTATTGAAACCAATTGCTTTTACCACTCAACATCCACAAACTTCAATGTGTTTATTGGAATTTTATGCGATAGACCAACACAAAGTAGTTTCAAATTAAAAGCACAGATAGGTTTTCAACATATTTTGCAACTAATAACTTGAAACATGCGGCATGCGTTTGATATGAGTCTTTCTTGAGTAAATATTTTCTACGCACGTCTAGAGAACAAAACATTTAGAGATACCAGAGCAAGCGTGAGTGAAAACAAACGCGAAGCACAAAGTCTATATTTTTATTAGTTAAAAATGTAAAAGAAAAACACTTTTTTCTTTCTCTCCATACAAAATCGCAAAAGCATGCATAGAAGCTTATCAATGACCAAATGCGGAAATGTTCAAAGGGATGAATGACTCTGAAAAGTTCTTTCACACGGTTAAGCATTCGATTTGTTTGACACACGACTGAAGATTGTATCAAGAAGATACAAATGAAGTCCAGATCTGAGTCAGAAAGGTGAGGCGATGAGGCTGGGTTTAGCTATTGTGATACTGCGGGAGCTCAAACATCTCCAACTCTACCGTCCATGCTCTCACAGCATGAAACATTCTTGCCACAGGAATTTAATTGCTCTGTAAACAAGGCCTTTGTTTTGTTGCGCATTGTTTGCTCTCGCACAAAAGGCGTATTAAAATCCTCGGTTTTACTATGAATAGAGATGAATGTCATGTCATGGTTCACTCATTGAAAGTGTGCTTACGAAATGAAAAATGTACACTAAACTAGCTGAATGGTGATGATAATCGTTTCTATTTACTCATGCAGCTATCAGACTGTCCCTTGCAGCTGTTTGCTGTAAGTTGTTTTCAGGTTCTCTGAGTAAACAGAGGGATTCTATTGTCTTCTCTTGTCTCCAGACTTACGAGCGCCAGTTCAGAATGCCTGACCAGAGAGAGGGGGGTCTTCTGCAGCTACTGGGTGATCCCGCTCCACCCAAACACCAGCCGCGCGCCGCCCTTCTCCCCAACGCCCAGCAAACGCAGCATGGTCTCACTCAGAAGTTCCAGCACAGTCACACGCAGCAGCACCAAATCGGTCCCGAATGGATCACGTCTGCGGCAGCTTTTTCCTCGCCGGGCCAACCGGCCGGCATTGAGTCATCCGGTGACTTGGCGGGAGGGAGCAGAGGCTCATCGCTCGACGCGACGCAGCCTTACTCCCGGGCAGCGACTTCAAGCCCGTCTCCCCAGAGATCCATGACTCCGGACCTGCAGCTACCGGTGGTCACAGACGCCAGCATTCTCAACCTCACCTCACTGAGCAGGTAGGGTTTGATAGACATCAGTGGTGTCCAATATGCGGCCTGGGGGCCACTTGCAGCCCCTGGACTGATTCTGTTTGTATCCTGACTTCAGTTCAAGAAAGATACAAATTTGGGCCCCCCAGCACAGATATTTGACGCAGATGGAAACTTTCTATCAATTAGGACAAAATTATCTCAAAGTGAAATTTTGTATTTGTTTTTAAATAACAATGCTTTTTGGATTCTCTTGCCAGAAACAGTGATTTTTGCTCAAAAGCAAACTTAGCTGGACCCCAAAATGCTTTCACTTAACTTCATAAATTTAATACAGCAAACCTTTCAAAGAAAGAATGACCTGAAGCCTAATGTTATTGATCATATTTGACTAAATTGCATTCCATTTTTTCCACAAGTGATACCTAGAAAATGTACAAAATAATTTTTATTAAGGCAAATGTGCATAACCCTTTTTAAGTTTTGGATCTATAATAATTTACACATCACTTTTCAGCAACAAATCTAACTACTTTATATGTTTAATTGAAGTAATTGTTTGCTTAGTTTATTACTGAGCAGGTAAAACGAGTTGTTTTCATCCAACTATTTTGGCCCATGTGACAAAACGTTTGGACATCTCTGCTGTAGATACACTGTTTGAGATGATTGGTGAACCTACTTTTTTATTTGTCTTAACTTAATCTTCCTTTCATGCATCTCCCTCTCCGTAGGGGAAAAGGTTTGCAGGAGGTCAGTGAACAACTCTTTGGAAATATCAAGAGGAAATATGGGAGGAAAGACTCTCAGAGGATGTTCGCGAACCCCCAGAGCGCTGATGCACCTTGGGGAAGGCAGTCGGAAAGGGAGACGGAGAGCACTGCTAACGCTGAAGAGAGGCAGAGATACAGGCTAGAGGGGGCGGCCGAGCAGTTCCAGGAAGCAAGGGAGGAACGAAGGAAAGACGAGCGAGAGCAAGCAAACACCGGGAGGAGAGGCAATGAAGAAGAGCGAGGAATGCCTGTGCAGGCGGAGGACGGGAAAGGAAGAAAAAGGCGGAGGAGGCCTTCATTTGATGAGTCGTTTTCCATGGAGGAGCAGTCCCAGCAGCAGACTCTGCTGGATGCTCCAGAGAAGCCCCTGGCCGGACCCCCCGAACCTAAAATAGCGTACAAGATAGAGGCCCACAAAAACGATTCTCGACTTTCAAGTCAGAGGGATGGCAGTGCAGAGAGGGTTGAAAAGGCAGAAAAAGCTGATAGGAGGGATAAAGCAGAGAGGGCAGAAAGAGGAGAGGCAGCTACATGCGGACCTGACCAGGAAACCGATCTGAGCTCCAACAGATTGAAGAAAAACCCGGTGGGCCGACCGAAGACCCTCACAGATTCCCTGAAACTCAGAGAGGCAACATACAATCAGATCAACAAACCCAGTCTTGGCATAAACCCCAGACTCCCCAGCCCCAGCTCTAGAGTTAGCTTGAGTCCGACGTCCAGCCCTAAATCCAGGATTAGCATCAGTCCAAGTCCAAGTCCCAGACCCAGGATGGACCTGAGTCCCAGTCCCAGTACTGGGAGCAGCCCTGCAGCCACCTCCAGGCCAACCAAGGCCAACGAAAGGTGGTCCTACCTGAAAGCTAAGAGTCATACGAGTCTCACCTCCCCTCAGAGAGACAGCATGGGCAGCCCCTCTGCTCTGGCAGATCCACCCTCTGCCTTCCCGATCACCCCCTCCAGTCCGCTCTACACCAACACCGACAGCCTGACCGTCCACGCCCCCATCAAGAGGAAGCGTGGACGTCCCAAGAAGCAGCCCCTCCTGACCGTCGAGACGATTCACGAGGGCACGTCCACGTCACCTCTGAGCCCACTGGCGAAGGAGTCAAACCTGGGAATAAGCCGCAGGAGAAAGATGCACACGCTGAACGCAGCGTCCACCTCTCCTAGTGACGGTTTCAACAGTCTGAAGGTAAAGCGAGGGAGAGGTCATCCCAGGGCGGTGATCAAGACCAAGCTTGGGAAAATGCAGAGCATCCTGAACGAGATCCTCTCTGGATCCAGTCAGAACGGCTCCCTGGCTCTGAAGTCGGCTTCTGCTCCGGTTACCTCAGCCATGAGCGCCATGGCGACCACCATCGAAGCTCGATTGGGTAAGCAGATTAATGTCAGCAAGAGAGGAACCATCTACATTGGTAAGAAGCGAGGGCGCAAGCCCAGAGCGGAGACCCAAGGCTCCGTCGCCCTCAAAGCTAGCAGGGACAAGCCCCAGATGTCACTGTCCACGTCCAGTTTTTACGACAGCCCTGCAGTGCCTTCCACCAACTCGTCTCCCAGCTCATGCGCTCCGTCGCTGAGAGCCAGCAACACTGACGCCACCATGCCGAGTTTGCAGCCTATCTCAGCTCTGCCCACCAAACCGTTAGGAAGAGGATTTCTCTCTGGAGGCTGGAAACTTTCTCCTCCTCGTCTTCTGGCTAACTCACCCTCCCACCTGTCAGAGGGGGCGTCGGTGAAGGAGGTGACCTTGTCCCCCATCAGCGAGTCCCACAGCGAGGAGACTATCCCCAGTGACAGCGGGATTGGAACAGACAACAACAGCACCTCCGATCAAACCGAAAAGGGTCCTGCCTCTCGTCGCAGGTACAGCAAACTGCTTATTTAAACCTTCATTGGTAAATTTATTCCCTTGTATTGCTCCTTCAATTTACAATTTCAGATTTTAGCAGTTTTTCAAGTTTATTCCAGTGGAGTTATTGCACTAAATATTTACAAAAGAATGATTTCAAAACAGTCAATAATGTCTTGTAGGTCTTTTTTCATTAGGTTGGAAACTATGTGGTTTTTCAGAAACAGCATTCAAGGCTGAATTTTTGTTCACACAGAAGAATTTTGACTTTGATTTTTCGTGCTTAGGTATAAATATAAACTGCAGAGGAAACAAAGGATTTATTACTGCATTTTCCACAAATATCAGCAAAACAAGTTTTATTTGGCCTTATTGAGGGCAAAATGATTCTTTTGATTTCAAAAGTTGCAGACCATTAATTTAGGGGTGTCACCGTAAAAAGAGATTATTTCCATATTTTTATCTGTTGAACGTTTTGGAAACTATTAAAGTTTCTCTCCACAGAAATTAATATATTTTGGTTGTAACCTGACAAAGTTTGGAAAGGTTGTTGTTCAAGTTACGGTCATTCTAATGTTTACAACTTCTTAACTTCATGGCCGTGTATTTGCAGGTACTCGTTTGATCTTTGCGGGTTCGAGTCCCCAGAGGCCGCCGCTCTGGACACGTCCACCAGGGGGAGCAGACCGCGCTGTGAACGAAAGGCCACTGCCGTGGACAGCTATCTGTCACAGCAGGAAAAGAAGCAGAAACATCACCGGAGGAAGAGGAAATGCCTGCAGACTCGGGACCATCTTCATTTTCTCTCTGAACTGGAAGAGGTTTGTGACGGCGTTATGAAACATTGGTTCGTCTGTGAGAAACTGCAAGCACTAAGCCAGTGTGGTGTTGTTGTGCCTTCCAGGTTGTGTTAAAGTTCCAGCAGCTGCGGGTTTCTCACAGGCTGTACACCTGCTACCCTCAGCATCCGTACCCGTCTATCTTCCGGCTGAATTTTCACCATTACTACCCGCTAAGCTACGACTCCTATGCCTGCGACTCCGGATCATACCTGCGCAGGAGTGCAGATCTGAAGGCCAAACGGAGGCGTGGTCGTCCGGCCAAAGCCAGCGAACCAATCACATCCAAGCTGCCGTTTGTCCCCGGATATGGCTATGCGCTAGGAGGGGGGAATTACTATGCAGCGCCGTATGCGATGCCTTACGCACCCCCTCTGAATCTGGGCTACTTCCCCACTACGCCACCGTTTTACCTGCCCCACCACTCGCTTGGCCCTGCACCCCCATCTCCTTTCATGAGGCCCGCTGTCCCACCGCCAAAAGCCTTCCTCTCGAGTGGGCACCCCAAACTGCAGGTGGGGGCGAAGATCCGCAGTGCCAGTGGCCCACTTCAGGGCCCCACTGTGAGATCGGAGGCTCTGGGCTCTCTGAGCGGCGGCAGTGCAGGTGGTCTGGCCGGGGTCCGCCTTCATAAGAGAAAGCACAAACACAAGCACAAGCACAAGGACGAGCCTCTCCTTTCCCCGAGGGACCGCCAGGAGTTGGGCGGACTTTTCAGTGGCGCCAAGACCAACGTGCGGCTCGGCATGCTGAGCGAGAGGCGGGACTTGGCTGGTCAGGGTCCCTCAAAGCATCTGGAGAAGCAGAGGGGCAACACGAGGAGCCCCAGCCTGGGATCCGGCCTGGGGATTTTCGAGTCGGACCAGCTGTCCGGCCACTCGCTCGCCGAGAGCCAGTTCCACTCCCGTCAGACTGCACAGCCTGCGAAGGGCTTCATGAGCAGCTACGGCAGCCAATCGCAGCGGTCGGAGGCGGCCTCTGACCTTTTCTCGGGGTTACGGGAGGATGAGTGTGCCGGGAGGAGCAGAAGGACGAGGCTCACTGTCTTCGGAGATCAGGGCTTAATGTCTTTCCAAACGGCCAGGCAGGAGACGGAGCAGATGAACGAGCGCTCTAGTCCAGCTCTCACTGGTAAGTGTCACATTATGACCCTTTCTGTTTGTTTCTGAAGAGAAAGCACTCACTCTCTTTGATTTTAAACGATGCAGTATGCCACAGGTGCATTTGAATGTCAGAACATTAAAAGGTTAACTTATTCTAGTATTTTGGTCTAAAAAGTGGAACTGGAGTGACTCACAAAATTAGAATATTCATGGGATTCTTACTAATGGAAAATGTTACTTTACAGTCATAAGGCTTGACTACTTGTCATTGACACACAATACGGATGAGTCACAAAAAGTAATTATAAGAGAAGCTGACTGTGTAGATTACTGTTTCCAGGAATGTTAATGGAAAGTTGAGTGGAAGGAAAGTGGTAGAGAGCAAAGGTGTGGTGGATGATGGCTGAGGAAAAGAAAGGTAATGCATAGGACATCAGCATCAAACGCCACAAATAGACCCAGATTACTGAATTACACTGAACGTCCAAAGGAAAGTGAAGGGGGAAATAAGGATGGACGATATAGATGAATTGCTTTTTGTGTTATTGTGTTAATGACAGAGAAAAAAGCTACTTATTTCTGGTTTTGGTATGACTGTGACTGCATGGCACAGCAGTAATGGCACCTCAAACACAAATACAGCTGAAACCAAACCGGCTTCTTCAGGACACCACTTACTTAAAAAGTGTGATTTATATCACTAACATTTACACAGTTTTAATAGTGTTTTCAGATTTACTGATATATTTATTGATGCTCTTGTGGAACAGTGGAGAAAATAACATTTCCGACCATACTGTCAGTCTTTTTTTTTATTCTTATCATGATAAGAAATGTTAAAAAACACAATAGATTCCCTCCCATGGGGAAAGACGCAGAAGGTGCAGCCGGAGTCTCAGTCCATGACATTCATCAGAACTTCCATCTTCAGATGAAAGTAAATTTTACATTTCATTTGAATATCAACAGCAATGGATTGGTGATCTGGTCCTTTTCCCCACCGACGATTGATTGATTCATTTGGAAATCCAGTTGTCAGAGTCAGAAGGGAAGGGAGGCTGGAGAGTTGCCTGATGTTTAGCAGAGAATCTGTGGCGCATCACCAAGAGGAAGACGAGAGACACCGGGTCCAGGAACGCAGACCAGCTGAAGGCTGCTATCAAAGCAACCTCTTCCTGCAGTGATGCAGTTATTCATGCAAAGGGAGCCCTGACCAAGAACTTGAAGGCTTTGTTCATATACCTACTTTTCAGTAGACAGATATTTCAGCATTAAAATATTCCTGTTATGAATGATCTCATAAGACATTATGAGGAAACTAAATGCTTGCTTTACATTAGCTGTAAGCCATATTCATCAACAGTAATATGGAAATATGTACATCAATTCAGCATTTTGAACCAAATTACTAAAAATAAATGAACTAAAGCACTGCGCTGCACCTGTGCAGCGATCGTCACGCAGTCATTCTGACTGAACCCAAAAGCAGCCAGGAAGTTTTCAGACTGAAATGAAGTTTCCCTCTTGCACATGCTCATTGAGGAATACTGCATGTAAACAACAAAGCCCAATCTGCTGCATAGACACTAATTGCTCCGGCGACGGGAGAACGGATGCACATGTTGTTACAAAGCAGCTGTGTGGGATCTTAACCTGCCAAGGTTACTGGACTGTTAACATGGGCAGATTGAGATCACTCTCTAGCTCAGTGATAATGGACATCTGCTATGCTGTGTGTCTCCATACAGGCAGAGCTAATAGGGCTTTCTTGACTAAAGATGCGGTACCTGTAAATGCTGCTGTTGTTGATAAATAAACTCGGGTGCAGGTTCGGTCGACGTTCTCACAGAGCAATGTGTAATTTGTTACATTCTGTATTTGGCTGTCTTTGAGCACATCTGGCTGGGGATAAAGAGAACGTAATGCATGGGAGACAACTATAATTCACCGATCTCTCCGTCCCCGTCCCTCCCTCTCTTCCTTCTCTCCTGCCAATGCGTTCGCCAGAGATATATTATTCACACAGTGTGATTTATTTTCTACAGACACGCCGTAAAAGGCTCTTGCCTGTGTTAAAAGAGCTGGCTGGGAGCCAGGGATTTAATGACTGGGGCCCAGTCCAGTGGTGGGGAGGAGAAGCCAGGGGCTCGGGTAGAACGCACCCCCCTCACCCCAGGGGATCCAGGACGGATGACTCATATGCGCAGCCCCTCAGCGCACCCCCACCTCTTCCATATTATCGTTATAGTACCTCATCTACTCCTGCACATCCTTACCCTTTTTTTCCAGTTTTGCCTTTTCTGCGGCTCTTGCCCTTGCTCTCCTCCTCTACCTTGCTCCCACAGCACTCACATCCACTTCTCCCCCCCTGCTTCTCTCCTTCCAACTTACTTCCTTTCTGCCTCTCACCCTCTCGCCTCCCCCTCCTCCCAGATTACCTTCTCTATTCCCCATTCCCGTTGCCCCTTCTCTAGCATGACTTACTGCTTCACTTCACCGCCTTAGTCCAATTAAAATACAGGCGCGTGTGCATATGAGTTCTGCTGCGCGCGCTTGCACATGCAGGCACATAAACGGACGGGGGGGGAGGAATCATCCACAACCTGCAAAATCCACAACAGATTTCAAATCCAGGAGTTAGAAGAAGCTGCTCTGTAAAATGTTTCAAAATGGTCGCTGAAAATATTATAGGTACTTAAATATTTTTGTGACCTTTACTAATTATTTTTGCTTTGTTACACCAATTGAAAACAACATTCTTACAGTGAGATTAATGAGCATTTTCCTCCCTTTGTTTCCACACTTTCTGTTTTTCTGCTTCCAGAAAAATTTCCAAAAGTCCAAATCATGTGCAAAAAAGCTTAAATAAAATAAAGGAAAGAGGCGTAGTAGTCTTTATTCAGTCGTCTGATCAGCAGTGTGCAGCAACAGTGGGCTGGAGCGACGCTGGATCCCTTTAAGCCTCATGAAGATGGAGTCATTTTTGTTCATTTAGGCGTTTACTCTGGAATCTCATTAAATTGGTTCTGAACCAGAGGAAAGGCATTTAGAAAGTTTCTGCCACGGTGAAACCGAAACTTTTTAAAACTTTGACTCTAGCGGCAGATCCAAGTTTGGGAGCAACTATTCTAATCAGCTGATTTATTATTGTTTTTATTGCAGTAGCAAATGTGTCAAAAGTTGCTTTCCACATTGGCATTGATGAGCTTGTTTTGTTAATATTACTAATTAATGCCCAGCATGGTTGGAGTTTCTCTTGTAACAGTTTTATAGTAAGTAGAAAAAAAATAATTTCTCTGCTTTTTTTTTTTTTTTTTTTTTTTGGTTTGTCATTAAAATGACTTTAAACCACAGGAATGATGCGGTGGAAAATATAATTGGCTTTGTTTACTACTCTGGACTCGGTCAATCTATTGCATGAATAACTGCATAAATGCACAATTTCATTTACTAAATGACAGAACGCTCCTGTAATAAGTAGAGCCAAGGTGCAGCATAAAAAATGAAGCTTTATATCTGCAAAGCACAGAACACTGTCTGCTTACTTCATCCTTAAATCAGATTAGTTCACCTTTCCCATGAAAACCTGATGGAGGGGAAAAAGTGCAACCGCAGCAGAGGTAGCTTTTAAAAACATAAACAGACATAAATATTGAGGAGAAGAAGAACGTATATAAGACAGAGCGAGAGCAGGACGCCGGCGGACGAAGATTGATATCTAAAACATCTGGAAAGAAGCAAGAACAACCAGGAAGGACGATTCACATGACGCTACAACATCTGCACTCAGACAGAATCTGAAATAACTTTCATCATATTCCATGCTTGGAGGATGACTTTATTCTGCTAGTCAGATACGAAGCGGGCTGTGGGGATGCCTCTCTGCTCTTCAGAGGAACAGGTCCTCGGCGCTGGAGAGTCCCTCGCGCCGGTGAAGGTCATCGGTTTTATGTTCCGTGTATGGAGCTCATAAATTTCTGCTACTTTGTAGTGTGCATGTGTGCGTGTGCGCTCACTTCTGTGCAGCTCATAAACCGCTGCTACTGAGTGCTTTCTGCAGTCACTAATTTCACTGCCCCTTCTAACTTTTTTGGCAACCGCAAAGTGAAAATTTACAGCACGCAGCTGATATAAGCAGCTTAAATGTTATTAGTCAAAACTCCACACCTCCTTGTATTATTTGTGAAGTCGCAACGGGAGCACTTCTACTCATAATTACGAACTGGTGCTGGTCTGATATGAAATGCATGTTTCAGCCATGCAATAATCCACAAACATCTCAAGGATTTTTTTTTAAGTGCTTTGATGGTAATTTAATGTTATTTTCTAAACACTGCTTAAAGTAAGTATATTTATATTACTAGTATAAGTAGAAAAGATCAAGTGTTTGTACAAAATCACTTAAGATGACTTTGGAGTCAAAAGCAGTCATAATGATCATGTCACTTCAATAGAGTCAATTAGCCCAAAGTAAATAAAAACAGATTATGTTGTAGGTTGTTCCTAATGTTATCTTTGTTACATTAATTTTTAATATTTTTACTCAGTTTTATGATATCGTGCCTGCTCTCGTTTAACTTGTGCATGAACTTCATTATTTTATATTCCTACCACACTTTTATTGAAGTGTTGGATCACAACAAAAACCAGCTAAGCTGCAACAGCAGGACTGTGGACCAAAACAAGAAATGACCATTTGGGGACCAGCGGCCAATTGTGCTTCTCCCTCCATTTTGGCTTTTTCTAGCTCTGAGCTCCGGGAACGGAGCCCAGACAGGGAGGAGAGGGTACCAGGAATTTTTTTTTGAGGTGTGCGTGCGTGCGTGCGTGTGCGTGCGTGTGCGTGGGTGCGTGCGTGCGTGTGGAGAAAGGGTTACAGTGTTGGGGACAAAGATCAAAAACAAAAAGAGAGTCTGAAGCAGACCCAAGATCAGGAAGCTGTTTGTGAAATGAAGACGGAAATGAAACGGTGCAGTGTTTCCAGTTTAATTGAAAATGAGAGAGCAGCATATTGCCTCCCATGAAGAGCGGAGAGGAGAGGAGAAAGAGAGTGATGGGAAAGAGGGAAGGGGAAAGAATGGAACAGCGTGTAAAGGGCACACTGCCCAGTTCATCAGTGTGAAGGAAACAATATGGCTCAAGTTTCTTCTGCTCAGCCATTCTGAACTGCTGAATTCATTATTCCTGCATGTTGGGGCCTTCTTCATGTGTGCACATATGTTTTTTTCTTTGTGTCTATGTGATGCTGGGGGATATTTGGATGTGTGTGTGTATGCATGTGTGTGTGTGTGTGTGTGTGTGTGTGTGTGTGTGTGTGTGTGTGTGTGTGTGTGTGTGTGTGTGAGAGAGTGACTTTTTGGCTGCCTGTTCTCCAGATGCACCAGTTTGTTTCTGTGTGGAGACATATTAAATGGTTGAAGGAGACATTTCTTTGGGTTTCCTGCAAGCAGAATAGGATCTCCTCCTCACTGCTCTCCAGCAGACAATTACAGGATAGGATCTGCTCTCCTGGCTCAGCTGGGCTTTGAAAAGCTTAGATGAATATCTCAAAATTAGCAGGAAGCTCTTGAGGCAAAAAAAAAAAAAATAGACCTTCTTCCATGAGCTAAATTACACGATGTTTGCACGAAAACTCCTGCTTGCTTTGCAACCGACTTACTCACCTAAATCGCTCCCTTTTACTCCCCAGGTGTCCCTGCTAAGAGGAGGTATAAACGCCGTGAGGTGGAACAGATCCAGAAGGACGTCAGGAGGATGCATTCTTTGAACTTTGATCATGTGCAGAAGATCCTGCGTGCCAAGCGTCTGCAGCGACAAGCCAAAACAGGAAATAATGTCATCAAGCGGCGGCCCGGGCGGCCCCGAAAGCAGCCCCTGGAGGAGTCGCAGCCGGCCAGCATGAGGGAGGAAGTCTGGGCCGACGCTCGAGGTCTGAATGTCCCTGCCAGCAGGAAAGGCGACGGCAGGACTTTGGGGATGCCCGTCCTGGAGAGGTGCGACAACCTGCCGGGTCGGCACAGCCTCAGGCCGAGCCTGGCCCTGGAGTCTCAGGAGCTCCCCGCTCACGACTCCATCGCAGCGACTATCGAGACTGTGGTGCACCAGGCACGATGCGTCCCTCCTCCCGGGAATAAAGAGGGCAAACGCAGAGGCAGGGGCCACAGCAGGGACCAACTGTGGGCCCCTGGCAGTCAGTAGATGCCCTGAACTGAAGGTAGAGCAGCTACCAGAATCAGAGCTGCTTCAGCCCTAACAGATGCAGTGCCCTTAAAGCGGGAACTCTTTGATGCACTTTGACTTGTATCTCCTCCTCCAGCCGGTGGAGAGGAGCCCAGGCGGCGGAGAGGTAACGGAGGAGCGACAGCCTCCCTCTGTCTGCAGAAACCCCGACCAGACACGGGCTTTTCAAACGTCCTCCAGACCTGTTTTCACATCGGCATTCTACGGTACTCTACGATACTGAATCTGATGCTATAAAAGTGTGTGGTACTTATGATAGAGTAGGATTTCATGTGATTCTTTATGTATCTGATACAGTGACGTCTATGGTACTTTACGGTACAGTATCTGAATGTGGCTTTAGCCATATATTTACCAGCAAAGGGGAAGTGGGTGGGGGTGGTTCATATAAAACTGTGCAGCTCTGCTTATTTTTTGCCTTTTCGTGGAAGCTTGTGAGACACGCAGGATAATACATCAGTAATTAACCCTCCCTAACCTCTCTGGGATATTTTTTTCCCCCTTATCATTTTCTAAGGTTTCTCGCCCACTTTTTGAAGAAATTCACACTTTTCCTGGCAGCTCATCATCTTCTCCGTTTCACCCCCAATTCTCCTCAGATTTGCTCCTACTGATGTTTTCAATCTGCAGTCCTTGAGCTTCCTTGTTTCAGTATGTCTGTCATGTATTTCTCCTGTCTCGCTCAGGCCTCTCCTGGGCAGGGAATCAAAGGCAATACGGTGGATGAAACATGTCCCCCGACTGTACATAGAACTAAAAGTCCACTGTTGCCTGCCTTGTACAATGGGAAAAAAAACCAGCTCATAGATGTGTACTGGCTTCCAGTATAATAAATAGAATTGTAGATAATGAAAATGTGTATTGTTTTATAACCAAAAACAGACATGGGTGTGACTCAAGACAAGTATGTTTTCAGACAGAAGAATACCACGTATTTTCATTCATATGCTCATTATTGTGTTTGTATCCAGGGCTTGGGGCGGGGAGGGAGTGTTGGGTAAAAGAGGAATGTCGGATGTGTTTTTTGCTGAACTTTTAGAGTTTGTTAAATGCACTATGAAGAACCGTTCACTTGCATCAATCACAATGCAGCACTTACATGCTTGTTCTAGCCTTATGTGTTCTTTGCATCTGCTGGGCTGGGCGTCCGGTCCAGAGAGCATGCGTTATTTTTTTTAATCAATTTATATATGCAGGCCGCGCAGCCAAAAAGCATTAAAAAAAAAACAAAAACAACAAAAAGCAAAACAAATGAAGCCTGAGTGCAAGTCACAATTGGACAGTTCAATTAACAGCCCCATCCTCCCCTTTTTATGTTTGTACTTAAGCTGATTTCAGTGAAGCAAATCCAGTGTTTTGACTTTGAAATCAAAGTCTCAGAACTCCGTAAGGATGTAGTATTTGAAAGGATGTAGTATTTGAAAGTATTAAAGTTTGGCAAACTCTCCACCACATTGGCAGCAATGTAAAGCATTCCTATGTGCACTGTAGAATGTAGCCATGTTGGATCTTGGTGTCAATGAGCCTTTTGTTTCACTCCTTTTTCTTCTTTTTTTTTTTTTTATCAGTATATGGGACTTTGGATCACGGTTGGATTTTTCCCAGACATAAACGATAGTTCAGTGTTTCCTTGGGAACGTTTTCAGATCGGTGGATTTGTTTTTTTGTTGTTTTTTTTTTTTTGGGTCAGGTGATATTCTCAGTTGCAGCAGCTCAACTTGTGCCTTATGTTTCCTTTCTATCACGTATTGCATTTGACTGAAGGAACAGAAAGTGGCAAGGAGTGCCCTCCCGAGAGTGACCCAAGCATGTTCACGATTGTGCATATCGACCCTCGTGTCTTACGTCATCAGAACCCTGACGCTGCCCGTGTCCCCTCGCATCTCTCTGTCTCTGGGCGTTCTTCTCGTTTTCCGATCGTTTCATCCGGACAGAGCTGGAAGGGTGGGACTCGCTGTACTTAATGCGCATCATGTTCTGACCTAGAAACCACCACGCAGCGGTGGCAGAAGAAGAAAGAAACCCAGAGTCAGACTTGCCTTTGACCGGAGTTATCGATTCTTCTCGCCGTCTTTGATGTGAAATTGATCATCGCTTGCTCCTAACAAGTAAAATATCTGACAAATAGAGGAACAGAAGCAGCTGTCGGGAGAAAATAAAAAACACGTTTGCGTATATTGTTTGCTATGCATCTGGCCATTTACACTGGCAATGACCTAAAGTTAAATTCGTGCTCCGGGTCCACGTTGCGACAAAGAGAAACAAGTGGTCTTATTTGCTGAATAAAGTGAGTTCATGTAAGGAGAATTGTGAATAATACCAGTAATAATTTGTAATAATGACAAAGTTGTGCAGAAAGTGACTATCATTTCAAAAAATAATTATACTTACTGCCTCTATGCAGTACAGCCTTAAAACCACAGTATTGGCATGTTTGTTGTAAATAGTGTTTTTGTCCATCGCGCATGGATACCAAGCAGAGACCGCCCCCATTAACCCGCCAGAGCGCCATCTGTCTCCACCAGCACACAAATAAAGTACCTGGGTCATGGGTCGGTTTCCGAGCTTCTAAGAAATCACAGTTTCAGAAAGCAGCCGAAGGTTTTCCCCCCGTCTAGATTGTTAAATTGACAGAAGATGGTTTTGTCACTTTTGCTTACAAGAAAAGTTAAATCAGCACTTTTTTTCCATGTGTGAAAAGCAAACAGCCATGTTGTGGAAAGGAGTATGACCCAGCACTCTTGTCAATATCATATTGTTTTTAAACCACAGTGGGAAAGCTACAAAAAGCCCTTCAAACCATTTGTTTTTGGTCTAAGCTATGTGTCAAATTGAAATTAGGAACTATTTGCTACAAAATCCAATATTAATGTTATTTCAAATGTAATAATATATTATTTTAACTGCTTCCCTGCTCCGATTTATAGCAAGTAGGCCATGCGATGGTGTTATAGTTTACATTTTTTGTTTTTAACCTGATATTTTTCCTGAAGTATCATCAGAATCTCGTACCGACCTTTGCCTATTTGGTACAGTCATTATTCCAGCTCATTGATTTACAAAGACGGCTAAAATAATCTCCCTTACTTCCTTCTGGAAGCTCTTAAAGGCCAGATTGCAGTACACTAGACCAAAAATAGGGATCTCGACTGACTTTTGGCTCCTTCTGCCTGCAGCTTGAAGGTGCGTTGCAGTAGCGTGAAGGGTTGTGTGTTGGGAGATTTCTCAAAGGAAAACACCAAAAATTCTCTCAACCTAATGTTATCATGCTTAACCTTGCTTTGGTAGAGGACTTTCTGTGGGTCTGTGGTGGAGGTTAGCTGTGTACCGACGCCTGCGTGCTGCGGTGGGATGGTGGTCTCTGATGGTGGCGTGAAAGGCCCCGGGTAATGTCTGTGCTGTCCTGTCTGTTTCGTCTCTTCCTCTACCAGCCGATGCTCCGGTGCCTTTTAACACTGACAAGTATTGTCCTAACCCAGAGCTTTCAGTCGACATGGAGACTTCAGAGGGGATGTAGTTGTGAGTGGGATTCATGCTCTCCTGTTCGCAGCCCGTCTGGCTCATTTGGTCAAACTTTTCACATTTTGCTGCTTTATAACCGCAAACTTCAGTGGATGTTGTTGCAGACTGGTTTTGGTGAGATGAAAGGAAAACGATACATGGTTTTCTTTTTCTTTCTTTCTTTTTTTTATTTCACAAAAACAAAAAATGTGGACATTGTGGTTTTCATTTACATTCAGCCTTTCTTAGTCAATTGTTTTTAAGAGCCACCTTGTGCTGCAGGTCTATATAGCTCAGCTCGTTTATAGATCTGGACTTTGACTAGACCATTCTACTACAAGATTATGCTTGGATCTACCGTTCACTCTGTTTTTAGTATTTTTCCTGCTGGAATTGAACTTTTACCAGGTTTCCTGTCTCTGCTGAAGTAAAACGTCTCCACATCATGATGCCGCCACAACCGTATCTCACCATTATGAAGATACTGTTGAGATCGAAATACCAATTGATAAATGCTACTTTGTTAACTGTGTATTCCTGCAAAGTGTTACCAAAGGACTCTTAATGCTTAATGCTCTCCAGCCTGTCAGTTTAGATAGACATCATGTCTTGGTAGGTTTTAGTCTTTCCATTCCCATATGCTGAATTAAATGGTCTTCATGATGTTTGTTCAACAATGTTTTCTAACAAACACCTGAGGCCTTTACAGAAAGTTTGGCTTCATACTCACAATAAGTGAAATACGTTTGCTCAGCAATTTGCTTCCAAAGGCCTTTGGGTTCATCTGATTTTATTTAAGAGTATTGAACTTGAGGGTTGCCGCACTTTTTATTTGGAAACTATTTCAAAAACCATGTATCATTTTCCTTCTGCTTCACGAATAGGAGCTGCTTTGCGTTGCTCTGTCGCATAAAATCGGCATTTTAACAGCATAAATTGTGAAAGGGTATGAATAGTTTTGAAAGGCGCTGAAATCAAGCTTGTAAGCAGCCTTTGAGCTTACAGTAAAATTACATTAAATGTACAATTAGTCCATGGGGACAACATGTAGGATGAGACAAACTGGCAACTATGTTCTGGTCTTATTCCCCTGATCGCATGCAGTGATGGGAGTCTTACACCTGGAGAGAGGGAGTGGGGGGTCATATCATGGAGTCATTAAAGTTGTCATCCTTCCAGCATCTGTTTCCCATTCGAAGCTATAACGTTGTTCCGAACTGAGAGTGCAGACGAGGCACTGAGAAAACCAATAAACTTCTGTAGAGCACAAAGTGAGCTCTTCTAACAGCGTGGGCATATTTTAATTCGTATACATTGTGTATTTGAACCTTTTTCTAGAGTGGCTCTCCTTTATTTGCATGCTCAATTTTGATTGTATGCATAAATATTTTAGACAAGTTGAATTTCAATTGAATTTGAACCAAGACTTGTACATTGTTTGATATGTTTCTTTTTGTAATGGATTTTTTAATTCATGAGGCATTTTTGTACATTGTATGAATATTAAAAACTGCAAATATTTGACATATAGAGTAAATACTAGATGCACATGCATATGCATATATTCCTCACAGTATGTATGTGTAAGCATACACATATATTTTGTATTTGCATTTGCCAGCATACAGATATATGTCTTAAGCACATATATACCTGTATTATATATGTATATCCATGTCTGCTGGCATGCTTTTGGTCATGTTTCTCTTTCATGATCTTGTAGGGGATTTTTTTTTTTTTATTTTATTTCCTCTTTCCTTAAAAAGAAATGCTCATTCTTTGCTACCCTTCTGTTGGCTGGCAGCCTTGAGCACTTATTAAGAAGAACTACAGTTGAAGTTGTTCATGTTATCCATTGTGTGAAATAATAAATGACTTTATTGACAGCTCGCAGTGGTTCGTGCTTTCTTCCTTCTGTCAGAGATTGTATTGTTATTCTGTTCCCCTAAAAACTGCTTGGTCACATGCTGAGATTTGCCTCTGTTCCTGCATGTGTGTGTGTGTGTGTGTGTGTGTGTGTGGTGTGTGTGTGTGTGTGTATGTGTGTGTGTGTGTGTGTGTGTGTGTGTGTGTGTGTGTGTGTGTGTGTGTGTGGGTGTGTGTGTGTGGGGGTGTGTGTGTGTGTGTGTGTGTGTGTGTGTGTGTGTGTGTGTGTGTGTGTGTGTGTGAGGAGGTGTGATGGAGTGAGATGACAGGCAGCGGGGTTACTGCACTGCTGAATTTAAGATTCTCTCTGTGAATGAGTCTTACTCTACAGTGTTGCAGGTAAATGAGAGGGAATCCTCTCATCAGATTATACTGCAGAATCTCTCTTACACACACACACACACACACACACACACACACACACACACACACACACACACACACACTCCTCTCTTCGTTCTCGTTAGCCAATCTCAAAATCGTTTTTGCACAACCCCTTCGGTGTCAGTTCGAGGTGGGCTGGGCTGGAGGCTGTCCTGTCATTGGACGGAGGTGAGCGAAAAGTGCCCCGCTATTGGCTGCCGCCAACTAGTAAAAATCTCCTGTTACCATGGTTGCAGAGTGAGCTGCCCAAATGTGTCTCAGTGCATCTGGTGGTGCTGATGGAGCTGTTGGCACCACTGGTGTGCTGGAAAAAAACAAAAACAAAAAAAAAAAAAACACTCCGATGGAAAGAAGTCAGAGTAGAGGCGATCCTGCTCCCAAATCACTCTGTTCTGATGGCTGCAATCGAGCCCACATGGCTCGTCTCCACCCTCCTCTGCACGTGAGAGAGGATGAGATGGATGAAGGTGAAACAGCCGTGCTGAATGTATCCTGCATGATGGATGCGCTCCTTAACCAGGGGGAAAAACAGGCTCATCAATCTCAGCTTCAATGCATGGATTTTTGTTTTTTTTCCCACCAACTTTGCTATAA